TGAACTCATTGATATTATTGGTGATTTCTGCTCGATTGAACGGAAATGGGCGATTACGACGAAGTAGCGCTCTTCCCTATTGTTGCTATGGTAATAATCAAAAAAATGACTACACATTTTGATATACTGAGGGCGAGCTTGTTTAAGTGGCACCAGTAAACAAATTGATCCAACATTTCTTGGAGCTGACGGCAATCTTCGGCATCCTTGACAATGATATATAGTTTGAGATCATCGGCGTATATGAACAAACAACCACCCTGCAGGATGGGAGTCACATCCGTTGAAGAAGATTGTGAATAATTTCCGAAGAAGAATACCATGATCAATGCAATCGAAGGCCGCTTTCAAGTCAGTATAAATGGTATTTTCGAAGTGATTTATACAAGTTGAGAAGTACTAAAAAAAAATGATGAAACTGAACGTCATGGCATAGATCCGTGTTGCATTGCTGAGATGTAGCTTTTGACATGAAAAAAGATAGTTTCGTTCACAATGATCTCGAATAATTTAGAAACTGCAGAAATACTTGTTATACCACGGTAGTTAGTCACGTCATGTTTGTCGCCCTTTTTATAAACAGGGAACTTAAAGGAATGTGTCCGTATTTTGGAAAAAAAAACTCTTTGGTCCAACGAAGCGGTAAAGGTGCAAACCAGATGATCAGCTAAAGCAGCTACACAGCAGCAAAAAATGATTGCAGATACACCATCAGGACCCGGTAAAACCGATTTTCTCAAAATCCTAACAGCCTTTATAACATCCATAGAGCTAACCACGAATGTACGCAGATCGATGAGAACATTGGAAGCAGCTCTTTCTACTTTATCTGTACTGGCGTAGATTGGAGTGGATTCTGAATCGCAAAAAAAAAAAAAAAATACGAATGAAGGAATATTTGACGATTTCCGCTTGGAGTTCACAAAGCTCCAGAAGCTTTTTGGATTCCTATTTGAATGGAGCTGGAGGTGGCCTATCAGAAATGTATCAATTTATTTTTAAATGACCTAGAGTACACTTTGTGAGTACGAAAAATGAACATGTAACGAAAAGTGGTCAGGCTTTGAATGATTATAACTTGACTATTTCATGATACATTTTCAATCTCTTTGCATCAATCGGTCAGTATTTTCTCTGCATTTTGATTCCATTAGGTTTAACTATTGATTTTTACCAAAATACTTTTGAAAAATTGATGAACGTCTAACATCGTCTAAAAATCGTGTAAATCAAATAATCAATGAATCATGAGCGTGCATTCTTACCCGGAGATCTCAAAATACTGTGTTCAATTTTTTGGTATGACTACAGTAATCCAGTAGCCGCTATATAAGAAAGCGGTGTTAGCGCCGCACGCTCATTCTTGCATTGGATCACCTCAACTCTATTCAACAACAACTGCCCTCCGGTTTTACTCCAACCTCGATGGACTGCAGATAGGCTTGACGGAGCCTCGCTCGCGAGTTTGAAATGAGCCGAGCGTAGCATTTTTCTGAGGAGTAGAATGCCTACTGCCAAATCATTCCAGTGAGCTTCAGAGCTTGTGAGCGAAGGGGGATAAATGAGAGTGAGGTTTACTGCCATGCATGTTCATGTTTTCTATCACACGCTCTTACTCTCACTCTGGGTGAACTCTGAGCTTCTTGCGTCGAACAAAAAAGAGTCTCGAAAAGCGCACTTTACGTCAAATCATCCTCTCACTGAAGTTTGCTTCCATATTCCAACCACCACTCACTCAAGGTGAGGACTGGCTAAACTCGCAGGACAAGAGTGTTTTAAAAGCTCCAGTGAGTTTGAGGAGTTTCAGCAAGCCTGACTGCAGATCACGGTCAGGCGCATCCACCGTTCGCCGAGCCCGTTGGTCTAGTTGGCTGCTTCTGGCTTAGGACCGCGTGAAGAGGGATCGCCTGAACTCAACAACTCTTTTGTGCCACCAAAGTTGCAACAAAATAGCTCGACTACAGTTCTCCGTTGGTTGCATCCATCGTGTGCTCAGGAAGGGCAGCTACACCGAGTCTTTAGTACCCAAATATACTTGATTGCTGAAATTTCGTTCGTTTTCATGCAATACTGTCACAACTCAAGATTTTTAAAATCTGAGGCTAGAACAGTTATTCCCATATAAACTTCAAAATGTTTTAAGCCAAGTCAATTGTTAACTAAATGAGTTCATATTTAAGGAGGCTAATCAGGATCCAATTTGGAACCATTTGATAACTGTGGAATGTCATATTTTGCATCAGTCTAATGCACACTCAAATGCCAAATTTATAATAACGAAAAGTTTCGGGCTTGTATTTTAGTCTGACAGCTATTGGACCCATCCAATAAATAGACTTCATCACCGCTAGTTCTAATCTAAATATAATTTTTTTCTGTATCGATAGGGTAGAGAACTACTTCGGCCTAATCGCCCATTTTGGGCCTATCGAGCAGACAACTTCAAATAAATCCATGATTTCAGAGTTAACAAGTCAATTATGCGTTTGGTACGATACTTTAGTTAATAAGCTACCGAACGAAGTTAATGAGAACACGTGATATGAAGGTTTGCGCCCATTATTCTCAAAAAAAAAAAAAAACAAAAAAAGCGCACCAACCGAATCAATTTTTATCTTCATCCGATAGGCCGAAGTGAATTCATTGGCGTTTCAATGGCGTTTCAATGCAGTAGGCCGAGTTTAGAATCCGTAGGCCGAGTTTGGCGTCAAGAAGCAGTGTTAGACTTTTGACAATATCTCAACAATTGGTTTCTTTTTATCAAATCTTACGGTACATACGGAAAGGTAAATAAATTTGGAAGCTATAAGTAATAATAACATTCCGTTTGGCGCGCTTCCTGCGCTAGATTAAGAAATATTAAGTTCGGGTTGTGCTTAATAGGCCGGAAATGGGGTAGTTAACCCTACCTATTGCTTCTAATTGAGGTTTACTTTCGACTTAGCTTTTAAGATTATCTGAGTAATTTTAAAACATGTTTCACTACCTGAACATATCTTTGAAATTTCCATGACACGTTGGTGTCTTGACGCTTTTCTATCACTGGAATTTACAAATGTTTTGTTATTAGATAAAGTGGTTTTTCGTGCAACGTTGCTTCGTAGATGCATGAATATCCTCTTCAGTTATTTTTTCTTCGTTCCACTAACGCCAATATCCATACACTTAGACTTTTCACATGATTTACCTTTATCCTCTCACTCCATTGATTTCCCACAGGGGTCCAAATGTTACCCAAAGAGCTCTTCTTGCCACGACCTAAATCAAATGGTATTTCGTTTCCATTCCTTCTGATGCATAATAACGGAAACGTAGTAGCTACTCGCGTGTGCCCTTGAAATGCCGGATCCTTTTGCACATTCTCTCTCTTTCCTTGCTGCAGGATCCCATAGAGATTTCAAGCTGAACATTGCATTAGGTCCTAAGTAACATTGACAGATTCTCTTCGTTGACTTTATCTTTGTATCTCCATGGGCATGTGAAGACATTCCCAGGGTTTTTCAGCACACAGATCGATAAAATAAGCTTTTATCTAGCATCTAATTCGACAAACACAACAAGAAATGGTTATGTACTTATGTTATTAACGAAAGAGAAAGTCGACCAAGAGAATCGATCAATGTTACTTAGGACCTAATGCAATGTTCAGCTTGATTTACAGTCCTTCGTATGCGATAGAGCACTAAAGAGTGTAGCACATTCCATTTCACACCTGCGTGTAAGTATCGAAATGTGTGGATTCAAACTCAAGTGCTGTTGAAATTTTCTATGGAGTTCAAATTCAGCATCCATCTCAGGAAAGATTAATATAATGAATAACCCAAATTTCTCGTTCATCCACGTTGGTGGGGTAGTTCAGAAGCCATCACCATGGTGTGCGTATGGATGGAAGGCACTGTGTAGGAATTTAGCGGGATACGTCCCTCGGGTGGTGTGGAAATGCTCCACAACACTTGATCTGCCTGGTTGGTGAGTATGATTGAGTTAAAAATTTTGCTTGGTCTGTGTTGTTGAAAATCTTCACATACAGCACGAACACTTATACCAATGTTTATCATTTTAGTTTACTGAATTGTGTAGACGAAACTGACCTGAATCGTATCCGGGATGTGTTCCATTGTGTGGGAAATTGCATTATTAAAAAAGTAATATGTGATCATCCTCTCTGAAACAACGATTCACATTGCTATTAACACAAAGTTACCGATGTAAACTTGGTTTTGGTAGCAACCGGAATATGATTCAAACCGGGTCTTGTTGCCAAACAGATTACACTGACCTAGTTGACCTTTTCCCATTGATCGGAAAAAGTGCCCCAGCTGACAAATAAAAATATAAATGAGCATCAACCCTTAGTAATTCCCGACGCTGCCATTTCCAAACCTATAGAATATTTCGAAAGTTAAACCCTCCGACACCAGGTCACGACCGGACCCCCAAATTATTGCGTGTTATTGCTCCGGCTTCCGTCCTTTTCAGTGCAGGTTTCCATTTTTCTTCAAGTAGATAGATACCTACATACTTTCCTTCTTGCTGCAACTTTATGGCGTGTCATTGTGTGGGCAGCGAAATTGTCTTTTAATGTTTCAATATTGGATCAGTCCCCTGAAGGGAGGTTTCTGTATCTTTCGGTTTTCCTTTTGCCTTGCCGTGCGCCGGGTACACCCCAGGAATTATGTCTTCCCACTAACCGAAGTGGATTGTGTGTCGCAGCCATTCGTTACACTAGCTGTGTACTCATTTGTGCTTAAAAAGTACCCTCTCGTCTTGTATGTATGTCGTTTGCCTGCAAGCTCCTCATTATTTCCAGCTTTCCTCTTTATAACTTTTAATTAAAACCTCACGAGGAAAATGAAAACGAATTTATTATAACGCCAGAACCGATTCTGTATTCATGAAAAAAGAAAACAAATTCCATTTCGATGGGAAAAATAATGAACTCCTGTTTGATTATTTATTTTCATCCTTTCTCTATCATTTCTGTCTTCCCATCAATACAGAGAGGACATTAAAGTGCTGCGGGAGAGCAATTCACCGAACAAGGAACGCCTGACGGTGCAGTGGCTGTCGCAGTCGATAGCGGAAATTCGCTCCGAACTGGCCGAGCTGCAGGAATCGTCCAGCAACGTGTCCAAGGACGCCCAGCTGCGCAACCAACTGATGGAGGACATCAATACGCTGCGGGCGGATTTTTCCACCATGAAGCTGGAGTTGGAATCGCTGCGTTCGCGTCAGGAGAAAACCGAGGTGTTGGTGCGGGAACTGCGCGAGGAAGCCGTCCAGAGTGCAGAGGACATCCGGCGAAGCTTGAGCCGGCAACGTGAGAAGGTAGGTGGAATTTAATTGTTTTTTCTGCGGTTGAAAGTCACCCCCGGCAGCATGCTCGATGACAGATACGGGTGGGGACGACAGAACAAAACGACGATGACATTGATAGGAATTCAATTAGTAATCGTGGGGTGTGAATTTCCAATGATACCGTTGCGTTGCATAGACCCTCTGGTAATATAAGATTATGAAGCTGATGGCCAGAAGGAAAACATCCTACTGTGGGTGACGGTTTTTCTGTCAATAATTACTCAGGATGTATAGAAAAACTGTACGCTTCGTTGAACATATGGCGATCAATAAATGGTTCATTGAAAGTTTTCCAAAAAGTGCAACTACCCAACAAATAATTTTTGCTGCAGAACAGTTTATAACTACAAAAAATAGTTACATAAGCCAATTTTTGAATGTTCATAAAATCAAAAATTCGTTCGTTTTTTTTTTTTGTTAAAAATGGAATGGGAAGAGATGTCCTCTAGCATGAAGCAAAAATATTTAGATTTAGAGGTGGCGCAAACGTCTTGAAAGGGCATTTGGATCTTTAACCGATCGATGCGTTAGTTCACGAGCTACATGGCTACATCACAAAGCCTATTAGAGCGTGTTGTGTAAATATTTATACACATTGTTCTCAAAACAAAAGAAGCGCTCCTAGCGAACTCGCTTTTTCTACCTTCATCCGTAGGCCGAAAAAAATCCAATGGCGTTTCAATGCGTTTGGATGTAATTGAAACTCGTAGAACGAATTTGGAATCAAGAGCTGTGTTAGATTTTTATTAATATCTCAATAATGTGTGGCTCTTTATCAAATTCAACAGTACTTATGGAAAGGGAAATAAATTTAGAAGTCATCTTTGATAGAAACATTTCATTTATTGTTAAAACCCGTTTAAGAAAGAGAGGTAAAGCGAGGGTTCTGCTTTGTAGAACGGACATTAGATCAATTTTGAATTTCTTTACACTATTCTCTTCATGACTGAGTTCCTGAAATGCTTGTAGGAAACATTATTGGTCTAATTTGGCACCAACTATAAGACTGACGAGAATTTCTATCTACACAGCAAAAAGTATAATTTTACATCCAGGAGGATGCACTTCAATCATGTCGAAAACCTCATGTAATTTTTATGGCCACAAAAATAAACAAATGCAGTAAAATCAGCGTAATGTAAATTTTGTCTTTTTTGGCAAGTAATATTACATCATATTTTCGATACGATTGAAGAGCATGTACTTTTATATGATATTAAGATTAATTTTTTGCTGTGTATTTTTCACAAATAAAATTTATAAACAATATTTAACCTACCATAACTGTGTAATTTTTTAACCCAACGCGAATTGTAGTACTAATATAAAACTAATATAAGGCTTTAAGATGAACAGTGACAGCTTTTTTCACCAAATCTGAATACTTATTTACCGTTATAAATATAATTATGTGTATCTAATCCTCCTAGAACACAGTATCCTTAAAATTCTTTCATACGGAATTTTGATAAAAAAAAATCAATCAAAAAAAAAGTCGTACATGTATCTTTGCCAGTTTTTGACCAAAACTGTTGTTTTTTGTACGATTATAAAGATAATGATGTTCACTAAAAGCATCAAGAACACAATAAACACATGATATAAAATTCCAACATTATTGTGTTAAAAAAAAAATACTTTTTGTCTTTGAAAGCTCGCGCGCAACGTGAAGGTGCGTGAAAAAGCTCTGTATGGTCGGTGTTGATGTTGGTTCGCTCGCAACTATTTTTGCAAAAAATTAAATGTTTTCGATTCGAAAGTTTTCCAAAAGTGCTTTTGAACGTGTTTCGCTGTTCGGTGTGGTGAAATTCGTGAATTCCCGATTGATTTTCAGTGGAAATTCCGTATCACAAAATTGCTCACCGAGTTCCTTCGTTCCCGAACGGTAACGAAGACGGGTTTGCTTTCGCGAGAGTGACGTTAATTGGATCCGTTTCTTTGCACTGATGCGTTTTTTGTAACCAGTGTGCTTGTGATTTTCATTGCCTTCCAGGTGGCCGGTTCACCGTGTTCGGATGTCACTGTTTCGGCGTGTAGTTCTATCGAGAGTCTCGTCACCGTGTACGAGTTTGAACACGGTCCGGTTGGCAAATTAGCCGGGGAAAGTGCTGATAATGTGTCCGTCGCGAGTTTTGGTGGTGATTCGGTGGACGACGTTGCCGTGAATCAGCAAGTTTACGGCTTGCAAAAGTGTCCGTCTGCTGGTTTCTCGCCAGTATCGGAGATTGTGAGCAAACTGAAGGATGCCTCGCTAGATACGCCCAAGACTGGACGGGCGGTAGCTGATGGTCGTGAATGGTTTCAAGGGAAAGCACAAGACGCGCACCTCCTCACAGATGACCATGACAATGCAAGAACATTTGTTTTCGCTGAAGGTAGTATTACAACAAAGTGTAGTAAATAGAGTTAGTGTGGAATAGAAAAGAGTAGAATCGAGTGAACGTGAAGCGTGATAGACCGTATGTAAACGGAATCTGATTAGTTCGGGAATGTTGACACAGCTAGAGGGATAAATATGAGGTACCTAAGCTTGTTTCAAAATCATCCAAGCCAGGATGGTTGATCTTAGAAATATCGACTTTGCAAACAAGGTTCGTTCTCTCCCAGATTGTGCTAAGCCATTCTTGAAAATGGCAATGATTTTAAAAAAATAAGCCGAGGCCCATCCCTCCCCTTTCCTCTCCTAATCAGAATTCGGATCCATCCTTACTCATAACCCCAGTTGAAAAGGCCAATGTTCTTGGTCAACACTTTGTGAATTCACATAACCTTGGCCAAGCCATGGTGAGTCCCTACGAGCCTGCAGTATCGGAGGCAATACTTAGAGTCGCTGCCACCCCCGTAGTTTTCCCTGACGAAAGTAGAATATTGGCTGATGAGGTGACAGCAGCGATTAAATCAACCAAGAACATAAAGGCCGCTGGTGTCGAATGATCGAGCAGTGGTCAACCTCGAGTTGAAAAACTTGAGTGTTGACTTCTTCGAGCACCTTGCAGCGATCTTCAATAAGTGTTTGGTGCTTGGCTACCTGCAGGCTGGACGTTAGCCAAAGTCATTCTAATCCGCAAACCTGGCAAAGACCCTACCAGTGCCAAATGCTATCGCCCCATCAGCCTCCATCTCGAAGGTATTCGAAAAGTTGATATTCAGCCGTCTGCTGGTATATTCAAATGATAATAACGTCTTTCTCAAAGAGCAATTCGGGTTTAGGAAAGGCCACTCTACCATCCACCAACTCGCACTGGTTACTTGCATCATCAAGCGGAACATGTCCGTTTCCAATACATCTGCCATGGCACTGTTGGACGTCGAGAAGGCGTTCGACAATGTCTCGCATGATGGCCTAGTGTACAATCTGCATCGATACAACTTGTCGGGCAGATCATTCCAGATTTTCTTAAACTAATCACCTTCTGATACGTTCAACGTTGATGCAGGGGTTCCCCAGGGTAGCCTCCTTGGTCCTATCCTCTTCAACATCTTCCTGGTGGTGGTATTTTGTCAATGTTTGCGGATGACACTGCATCATCTATAAGGGTCGAGTGATCCGTGCTCTGACGAGAAAACTCCAATCAGGTCTGGATGATTTGTCCGACTATTTCAAAAGCTGGAAGATTTGTATCAATGCAGCTAAAACACATAACATTCTATTTCCACACTCCAATGCACCTCGGCTTGTCCCGCCTGTCAACTTAAAAGTCCACCTTGATAATACTCACATAGAGTGGTCAAATGAAGTCATCTACCTTGGTTTCACCCTTGATAGTAAGTTGCTGTTCCGTTCCCATGTGGACAAATCATCCACCAAGTGCAACATTTTGATTAGGCCACTCTATACACTTATCAACAGAATGTCCACCCTTTCTATTAAAAACAAGCTTGCCGTCTACAAGCAAATCATCCGCCCGCCATTGAATACGGAACGCCAATATGGGAGAGCTGTGCTAAGTGCCATCACCTGAAATTCCAAAGGATCCAGAACAAGATCTTTAGGATGTTCCTCAAGAGTCCTCCACGGACTCGGAATTCTGAGATCCTCCGCCTGACTGGTCTTCAGACACTTGAGGAGTGGAATACGCTCATCATCGAAAGGTTCAGAGCCGCCTGTCTGAGATCATACGCAATCTTGCTAATTAGGTTAAGTTATTCGTAGTTAGGTAGGTTATCAAATTATTTTTAAATTCAAGCAAAACACATCCCAAAGGGGTATCTTGTAAACTAGTTGAAAAACGTTAACATATAAATTAGAATAACAAATTAAACAAAGATGAAGAGCTGAAGGGCTAATCAATTGGAATGTATGAACAATATAAAATTATAATTAATGAAAAGCGCATGCTAAACTTTAGTCGCGTTCAAAAAAGAGTAAAAAGAACTCATAAACAATGTTCCTCATTATTGTAAATTAAAAAATATTTATTGGCTCCGTGGAGTCCTTTTTGAAATTTGAGCCTAAAAACTAAAATAATTGAAAAAAAAAATCGAGTACGAGATGCACAGCAATTTAAATTTTGGAAAAACAAATGTGAGTTACCAAATCACAAAATTCACCGAGGGTAGGTTAGGTTACTTTATTAAGGAGACTTTCAGCCATTGGCTGGATTGGGATCCCCAGAAGAGGTTACGCCAAGTGACAAAGGATAACTATACATCCAGCTAATCCTTACAGCTTCTCTTTAAGTCCATAATGCTTATTTCAAATGAAATTCGCTTTCTAAACTAGGTGATTTCCATAAAATTCTGACAAAATTCCTTCCCGGGCAATTCAATTCTGTCGCTCACTCACTCACATCGTATGCTTCATCTGATAAACTTTCAACTGACACATTAATTTAGAAAAGAGGTCCCAACCATCCCCATCCACAGTGCTCGTTCTCGTGGGGGTAAATTCTCTCATTGGAATCAAATTTACGCCGAAGAAACCCCGACCCACAAAACCGAGCAAAGTTTTGGTTCGGAGCTGCTCCGTA